CTTTCTGATAGTTCGTTATTAGTGTATAGAAATGCAACAGATTTGTGTATCTTGCAACATTACTGAATTTGTTTATTAGTTTTAAGAATTTTTTGGTGGAGTCTTTAGGATTTTCTCTATATAATATTATGTCATCTGCGAATAGTGACAGATTTCTTTCTTTCTTTCCAATTGGGATGCTTTTTAGTTCTTACTTTTTTTTTTTTGCCTAACTGCTCTGGATAGGACTGCCAATACTGTGTTGAATACGAATAGTGAAAGTGGGCATCCTTATCTTATTCCTGATCCTATAGGAAAAGCTTTCAGCTTTTCATGGCTGAGTATGATATTAGGTGTGGGCTTGTCATATATGACCTTTATTATGTTGAAGTACGTTCCTTCTATACTGACTTTGTTGAGAGTTTTTATTATAAATCGATGTTGAATTTTGTCAGATGCTTTTTCTGTGTCTATTGAGATGATCATACGATTTTTATCCTTCATTTTGTTAATGTGGTGTATCACGTTAATTGATTTGCGGATGTGGAACCACCTTTGCATCCCTGGAATAAATCCCATTGGATCATAGAGTTTGAGGAGGAATGGCAGTAATTTTTCTTTAAGTGTTTGGTAGAATTCACCAGTGAAGATATCTGGTCCTGGACTTCTGTTTGTTGGGAAGTTTTTGATTACTGATTCTATCTCCTTGCTAGTAATCAGTCTGTTCAGATTATCTATTTCTTCATGATTCAGTCTTGGAAGATATGATATTTCTAGGAATTTATCCATTTCTTCCAGGTTGTCCAATTTGTTGGCATATAATTGTTCATAGTGGTCTCTTATGATCTTCCGTATTTCTTTGGTATCAGTTGTAATGTCTCTTTGTTTGTTTCTGATTTTATTTATTTGAATCCTCTTTCTTTTTTTTCTTACTGAGTCTAGCTAAAGGTTTATCAGTTTTGTTTATCTTTTCAAAGAACCAGCTCTTTGTTTCATTGATCTTTTTTATTGTCTTTTTATTCTCTATTTCACTTATTTTCACTTTGTTCTTTGTTCTTTCCTTCTTCCACTAACTTTGGGCTGCATTTGTCCTTTTTCTGCTACCTTGAGGTATAAAGTTAGGTTGCTTATTTGAGATTTTTCTTGTTTTTTGAGGCAGGCATTTATTACTGTGAACTTTCGTCTTACAACTGCTTTTGCTGCATCTCATAAGTTTTAGTGTGTTGTATTTCCATTTTCATTTTCTCAAGGTATTTTTTGATTTCTCTTTTGATTTCTTCATTGACCCATTGGTTGTTCAGTAGGATGTTGTTTAATCTCCACATATTTATGAATTTTCCAGTGTTCTTGTAATTGATTTCTAGTTTCATAATATTTTGGTAGGAAAAGATGCTTGATATGATTTCAGTCTTCTTAAAGTTATTAGTACTTGTTTTGTGGCCTAACATAGGATCTATTCTGGAGATTGTTTCATTTGCAGTTGAGAAGAATGTGTATTCTGTTGTATATATCTGTTGTCTGTCTGGTCTTACATGTCATTTAAGGGTGACATTTCTTTATGGATTTTCTGTTTGTATGATCTACCCTTTGATGTAAGTGGTGTATTAAAGTCCCCTACTATTATTGTACTGCTGTCTGTTTCTCCTTTTAGGTCTGTTAAGATTTGTTTTATATATTTAATTGGTCCTATCTTGGGTGCATAAATTTTTACAAACGTTCTATTCTCTTGTTGGATTGACCCCTTTATCATTTTGTAATGCCCTTGTCTCTTATTACAGCCTTTCTTTTAAAGTCTATTTTGTTTGATATAACTATAGCTGTCCTAGCTTTCTCTTGGATTCCATTTGCATGGAATATCTTTTTCCATCCCTTTACTTTCACTCTGTGTGTACCTTACATCTGAATTGAGTCTCTTGTAGGCAGTGTATAGATGCTTTTTTTTTTCAATCCGTTCAGCCACTCTGTGTCTTTTGATTGGAGAATTTAGTCCGTTTACATTTAATGTAACTATTGATAGGTATGTACTTAATGCCATTTTGTTAATTGTTTTCTGGCTGTTTTATAGTTCCTTTGTTTCTTACTTCTTCTCTTCCTCTCTTCCTTTGTGGTTTGATGACTTTTTTTAGTGGTATGCTTAGATTCCTTTCTTATTATCTTTTGTGTATCTACTGTAGGTTTTTGCTTTGTGGTTTCCCTGAGGCTCATACATATCAACATATATATATATGTGCTATATATGGCATATATGTGGTATGTATATATATACACCAATGTCCTTTAAGTTGATAGCATATTAAGTTTGAGCACATTCTGAAAGTCTACATTTTTACTCCCCACTCCCACATTTAAAATTTTTGATATCACATTTTATATTTTTTAATTTTGTGTATCCCTTAACCAATTGTTGTAATTATAGTTATTTTTACTACTTTTGTCTTTTAGCCTTCATATTGCCTTTATAATTGATTAGTCCACTACCTTTACTATATATTTACCTTTACCAGTGAGATTTTTACTTTCATATGTTTTCTTGTTTCTCATTAGTGCCCCTTCTTTTCAGCTTAAAGAAGTGCCTTTTACATTTCTTCTAAGGCCAATTTAGTGGTGATGAACTCCTTTAGCTTTTGCTTGTCTGTAAAACTCTTTTATCTCTCCTTCAATTCTGATTGATAACTTTATCAGGGAAAGTATTCTTGGTTGGATGTTTTTTCCTTTCATCACTTTGAATATGTTGTGCCACTCCCTTCTGGCCTGGAACTTTCTGCTGAAGAATCTGCTGATAGTTTTATGGGAGTTCCCTTGTATGTAACAAGTTGTTTTTCTCTTGGTGCTTTTAAGGTTCTCTCCTTGTTTTTGCCTTTTGGCATTTTAATTATAAAGTGTCTTGATGTGAGACTCTTTGAGTTCCTCTTATTTGTAACTCTCTGTGCTTCCTAGATCTTCATGTCTGTTTCCTTCTCCAAGTTAGGGAAGTTTTTAGCCATTATTATTTCAAATAAGTTTTCTGCCTCTTTCTCTCTTCTTTTTCTGGGATCCCCTATAATGCAGTGTTGGTCCTTTTAATGTTATCCCTTAATTCCCTTAAGCTATCTTCACATTTTTTCCTTCTTTTTTCTTTTTGTTACTCTGATTGTGTGAGTTTTACTGCCCTCTCTTCAAATTCACTCATCTTTTTTTCTGCTTCATGTTGTCTGATGTTGAATTCCTCTATTGTATTTTTAAAGTCGTTTTTTTTCCAGTGTATTTTCTCTTTCTTATTCAGATCGGGCAACTTCTATCTTCCTGTTCGCTGATTCTTTGCTGTTTTTTTCCATTATACTGTTGAGTCGATTTACTGACCTTTTAATTTTGGTTATTATATTTTTCAGTTTTAAAATTTCTATTTGGTTCTTTTTTATAAGTCTTCTTTTTCTTGTCTTTGGTTTTCTGTGTTTTCATATGTTTCAGGTGTGTTCGTAATTGTTCGTTGAAGCATTTTTATCATGGCTTCTTTAAAATCTTTGTCAGATTTTTCTAAGATCTCTCTCATCTAGGTATTTCCATCTATTGATTGTCTTTTTAAAATTAAGTTTGAGATCTTTCTGGTTTTTGGTGTGATGAGCGACTCTATTGAAACATAGATATTTTCATGTTATGTTCTGATACTCTGTTTAGCTGGCTTTCTGTGACACCGCTCTGGCAGAGCAATGGTGTGCTGCACTTTGTTACTGACAGATGGAGGTAGGAGTTCTGTTGGCTCCTCACATGATCTCCACGATTTGTTTGTCTGTTTTTTTATTTACTCATCCACTTGTTTCAGAGTATCCTATAATAAATGACTGTTGGACTATGCATGCAGGATTGGGACAGAGGTAGGACATCCAAAGAAGAGCATACAGATGCTCAAGGGCAAGGATGCTCTTTCAACTTCTGATTGTCTCTGGGCTTTTCAGCTAAGCAAAAAAGAGACATACTATTATTTAAAAGTAGAAAACATAGTACCCCTTTAGGAAGGTAAAGCTTTTCCTAGACCTGTTTTCTGAAAGAAATTCCCCAAGGGGATGTGTAGATGAGCCATCCTTGACAGGGATGGCTCATCTGAAGGCTCCTGTTAGTCACTGAAGGCTCCCGTTTGTCTGCGAGGGCTTGGACACCTCTCAGTGCTGGGCTAAGGGTGACTCCGCAAGGATGCCTGTGAACATAAGGGTGGTACTTCATGTGTAAATGTTTCTGATTCTCCATCTTGAACCCAATGTGGAATTTAAAGTGTTCATCTAGTTTTCTATGTGTTAGCTCTGGATACTACCACTGGGAGCTGTACTGGTGTAGTGGATTCGTGGTAGGCAACTTAATTTAGAGTTCAACTTAAGGCAACCTATGTTTAAGTGGAAGACCAGAATCCTTTGAATTATTTTCATCATGTAATTGTCTTGTAGGTACTTAAAAAAATCTCCTTAGTTGTGGAAATTTTCAAACATACACAGTAGAGAGAACTGTATAATGAAATACCACTTGCCCATTGCACATTTTAACTAGTGCTTTATCTTCCTCTGTAATAGTTCTATAAATGTATTACCTTTCATGAGTCATGTAAGCTGAGCAATTTTATTGAAACATTGTTTTTATTTTGAATTTCATTTCATAACGTGAAAATAATGGATAGAGTTTTTCTTTCTGTCTAGGAAATGTGCTGCTGATAAGTATTGACTTCATAACTTTGTGTTAAAAAGTTTTATACAACGTTTACAGAGAGGCAGTATATTATGGTGGCTAAGAGTGGTCTGTCCCACATGCCATACTTATCTGGTTGACCTTGGGCACGTTCTCTGTGCCTCAGTTTCCTCTTCCATGAAATACACTTACAGTACTACCTCTTGAGGTGGCTGTGAGGGTTACCTAATATGTGTAAAGTGCTTAAAACTGTTTTTGGCACATATTAAGCACTCTGGTATTACCTATTATTATCATACATTTTATCAACTTTACAACAAACTATGCCCAAGATACAGAGAGATTGGCTGTTTTCTTATCTTGTTTTCTAGATGTGAATGAACTGAAGGAGTGTCTTTCTGTGCTGGTTAAAGAGCAGCAAGCTCTGGCCATCCAGTCAGCCACCACCACCCTTTCAGCTCTGAGACTCAAGCAGAGGCTGGTCGTCTTGGAACGATATTTCATTGCCTTGAATAGAACGGTTTTCCAGGAGAATGTCAAAGTTAAGTGGAAAAGCAGCAGCATTTCTTTGCCTCCTGTGGACAAAAAAAGGTAATATATAATGAAGAAAGAATCCTGATACCAGCTAAAAATAAAATTTAGGCTATTTTGTTTAGGAAAGTTTAATTAAGGCTTTTAATATAGTCTCTCTTTTCATCTTATGAAATTTTATTCTTTCTTTCCCTTTTTGTATGTTTCATATAATCTGGAGAATGGCTTTGCCAGTTTGTTCACTTGGTAACAGGCTATGCTGTGTGATCTGTGCCATTATTTTAAAGATCCTTTTTTGTCAGTCTCTGTAGAAGCCAGCCAAAGGTTTAAATCAGCGTGTCTAAATTTGAAAATGGGATCTGAACATTATATTGTTTTTGTTTTGTTTTGTTTTGCTACTGGATAGGGAGTAGTCAGATTGTAATATTTAGTGCCTAACTAGTTCAGATGCTTCATTTTTTTCTTCCTAATGTGATTTTCTTATTCTTTTACTGCAAGAGATGCTTTCAGGCTTATGATTTTTTAATTTATTTTTTATTTTTTTTTATTTTATTGAGGTCATATTGGTTTATAGCAGTGTATAATTTCAGGTGTACATTATTATATCTCAGTTTCTGTATAGGCTGCAGCGTGCTCACCACCAATAGTCTAGTTTTTTCTTGATGACATTTTTTTTTTTTGAATGGGGAAGATTCGCTGTGAACTAACATCTGTGCCTATCTTCCTCTGTTTTGTATGTGAGTTGCCACCTCAGCATGACTGATAAGTGGTGTGGGTCCGTGCCCAGGATCCAAACCTGCGAATCCAGACTACCAAAGTGGAATTTGCCAAACTTAACCACTACGCCACAGGGCTGGCCCCCTCAGGCATATGATTTTTAATATATTGTTATACATCAGCAGATTTTCTCTGAGACATTAACTAACAGCCACTAAAATGCTTAAAGCTTGTGTAAAATTGTATTTTTCCAAAATGTAGCTATCTTCCAGATTTTTGTTCTCAGAAGGCTGGACTAAACAATTTACATATAGAACTCATATTTTATGTAGTTAAGAGAGTTGGTTTTATTTGATTGTAACATTGCCTTTTACTCTCTATACAACACATGGAAAGTCCAAGAGGCGGAAAGAAACGGGGAACTACCCTGAGATAAGAAGGGCTAAATGTAGCATATTTACTTATTTTTTTCTTTTTAAATCTAGTTGAAATCACATTACATGTCATATATTTTAGCAGCAGTTTTAAGATAAATCAAACCAAGTGAGAGAGGAAGATTCCTGCCTGTGATGATAGACAGTGGAACAGTTCTTTCTGTCCTTCTTGACTGGGTTATGGGTGGCCATCTGTGATGGTCATTGATCTGAGAGGGGTTCTGTGGATGTGGGTGGTAGATCCTAAGATTCTCTAAGCACTCCTTTATGTTTGTTGAATCAAACTGAATTCCCCAAGATGCAGAAGTGGCTGAAAGCCCAAGTGATTCTTCTCTGTGCTCTTTCCTTTGTGGTGAGATAGGGTTGATGGATTAATTGAAATCTATCTTTCATTAAATGGAGGAAATTCCTAAATTAAAAAAAAGTTATTTTAGGGGCCGGCCCGATGGCATAGCGGTTAAGTTCTCGTGCTCTGCTTTGGCGGCCTGGGGTTCCCAGGTTCAGATCCTGGGAGCAGACTGACGCACCGCTTATCAAGCCGTGTGTGGCAGCGACCCATATAAAGTAAAGGAAGATGGGCACAGATGTTAGCACCGGGCCAATCTTCCTCAGCAAAAAGAGGAGGATTGGCAACAGATGTTAGCTCAGAGCTAATCTTCCTCGCCCCCCCCAAAATTATTTTGAGATAATCGTGGATTCACAGGTAGTTATAAGAAATAGTACAGATAGATGCCCTTTCACCCAGTTTCCCCCAGTGGTAGCGATTTGCAAAACTGTAGTACAGTGTCCAACTAGGGTATCAACTTTGATACAGTTTACCTGTCTTACTCAGATTTCCTCAGTTTTACATGCTCTCAACTCTGTGTATGTGTATATTTCCATATGATTTTATCACAGGTATAGATTTCTATCACCACTGCCAGAGTCAGGGTACAGGACAAGGACCTTTGTTATAGGCACATTCACCTCCTTCCTCTCCCCTCAACCCCTGCCTTAACCTCTGGCACCCACTAGTCTGTTCTCTGAGTCTGTTATGTAACCGTTTTTGTTTTTGTTTTTTTTTGGTGAGGAAGATCAGCCCTGAGCTAACATCTGTTGCCAATCTTCCTCTTTTTTTGCTGAGGAAGATTGGCCCTGGGCTAACATCTGTGCCCATCTTCCTCCATTTTATATGTGGGACGCCTGCCATAGCATGGCTTGATGAGCAGTACATAGGTCTAGTCCCTGGATCTGAACCTGTGAACACTCGGCCGCCGAAGCGGAGTGAGAAAACTTAAACACTGTGCGGCTGGGCTGGCCCCATATCATGTAACCCTTTGACGCTGGCTTTTTTCACTCAGCATTAGTCCCTTGAGATTCTTCCAAGTAGTTGCATGTATCACCGTGGCTGAGTATTCCATGGTATGGATGTACCACATTTGTAACCATTCAATGTTGAAGGACATCTTGGTTATTTACAATTTTTGAGGATTATTAATAGAACTGCTCTGAATATTAGTAGATAGGTTTTTGTGTGAACCTGACTTTATTTCTCTGGAATAAATGCCCTAGAAGTGCAGTTATTAGGTCTTACGTTTAGGTTTGTAAGACATTGCCATACTCTTTTCCCAGATAGCTGTACCATTTTACGTTCTCACCAGGCATGTGTGAGTGATCCAGTTTCTCCACATCCTGGTCAGCATTTGGTATTGTCACTTTTTAATTTTAGCCATTCTATTAGATGTGTAGTGATATCTCCTAAATTATTGTAGATTTCTTTTTCTCAACTAATTGGATAGTGGTGGGTTTTACCTATTTTGTAGAACTAGCTGCGTGTTTGATAGTTGACTGGTGTGAATGGGAGTGGGTCCAAGCTATTTTTTTTTTTCCCCCTTGAATATCTTTAAAATAGAGAGCCACTTGTCGAAGATTTAGCAGTTCTTACACGGTACAAATTTAAGGCTGTTGGGATTTTTCTCCAGCGACAAGGTCACAATTGCCTAATGGGAGCCCTAGCTCATGCTTCTCCTGGAGCAGCTTTCTCAGAGGGCCCTTTGTCTAGGGTGCTTCTCCCACATCATCTGAATAAACTTAGTTTGTGTTCTCTCTGTTTTAAAGACCACATGTCTTATTATACATCTGTATCTTGTAATGTTTGTGTTTCTCATTCAGAAATAAAATTTATACCTCCTTTTTCCTGTATTCCAGGCACCCAGTCCTCTGCTTAGAGGCAGCCACGCATTACAGTTTCTTATGTCTCCTCATAGAGCTCCACGTGTATTGTTCAGGATTCACAGATACCTGTATACTAGCTGCCTCAGTTGGATCATCACCTCCTTCACTGCTTATTTCACTTGACGTTGTATTTTGGAGAGATCATTCCATATCATTACCCGTTTTTAGTAGCGTTTCTGCCTGATTATGAAAGCAAATTATAGTAAATTTGGAGAATACTGTGTATAGTAGAAATATTCAATAGTGTCAAGTTGAAAATAAAAGTATTGGTTATGCATGATTGAGTTTATATTGTCCACACATTTTTGTATTCTAGTATTTTTTAGGTTGATTTTTTTCTGTTATTTGTATAACTTTTTAAAAACATGCAAAATGAAACCATCTTATTAAATTAATGTATATAATACATTATATACATATATATACTGAAAAGCTTAAAAAGACACATGAGAATGATAATCATTAAATTCAAGAGAGGGTAACCTCAGCAGGGTGGGGATGAAAGGGAATAGGATAGTATGTGGGGCCTCCAAAGCCAGCAGTCATACAGGCCCGAAAAGGGAAAGATCCAGAGCAAGTACGGCCAAGCGTTCCGATTCCACAGACCTGGCGCAGAGTCTCAGGCGTTGGTCGTAGTCTCTGTGTGCTCCTCACTCACTTCACCTGCCTGTTCTTTACTACATGAGGTTTAATTCCACCATTTATGTATTTATCTGTTAATTTTCTGTTTCCCATCTATCTCCCCCCAACTAATAATATCAGCTTCCAGAGATTTTTTTGAGAGCATTTTTATGAGTCATTTAAATGTCTTTTTCTTTTCCTTAAAGAGAAAACTTCCTTTACAAAGGACATTTGATAAAAGTTTTTGGGGGCCAGCCCTGTGGCCTAGTGGTTAAGTTTGGCACGCTCCGCTTTGGCAGCCCAGGTTCAGTTCTTGGGTGTGGACCTACACCACTCCTCAGCGGCCATGCTGTGGCAGCGACCCACATGCAAAATAGAGGAAGATTGGCACAGATGTTAGCTCAGGCTGAATCTTCCTCAGAAAAAAAAAAAAAGTTTTTAAAAAATGAAACTAAAAGTCACTTGTGATCCTGTCATCTAAAGAAACCCATTGATCGCATATTGGTACAAATCCTTTCATGTAATTTATTTTATTTTAGTATTTGCACATTCCTCTGACTGATCAGTTTCACAACCCTCATGTGTGTTGTCTGCAGTTCCCGGCCCACAGGCAAAGGGGTGGAAGGACTTGCAAGAGTCGGATCCCGAGCAGCTCTCTCCTTTGCCTTTGCCTTCTTACGCAGGGCCTGGCGGTCAGGTACGTGTAGCATGGTGTTCTGTGTCCCTACCACATCAGGAGACTTAGGTTCTCCTCTCAGTTCTGCCACCACATGCCCTTGGGCCTGGGTGCTTGAGGCCTGGGAGCATCCCATATGCTTTCTGTGCCTTATTTTCCTTCTTTGCAAAGTGAGAGACTTCAGAGTCTGTTGGATCTTTCAGGTCTGTGCTTCTTTAAAAAAAAAAAAAAAAGAGTGTGTATGCACACACATCTCAGGTAAACCACTGCAGTGCCTTAGTACTGATTTATTTTCTAGGAGAGCAAGAAGTTAGAATTGCTTGTGTGAGAGTCATAAAATAAAGAACTGACTTTGGGGCAACTGTGTTAAATTTTAGTCTTGAGTTCTTGGGGTATCTCATTGAGAGGAAAGTGAGGGATTGAAAATGTGACAATGGTGTCCTCTCACGCTGAGGGGTAGGAGGCCTATCTGGGAAGGTGAAGAGAGCTTTGCTTGTCAGTGCTGCCCGAGGAGTGGGTGGCCTCCGCTGATATGTATGTGTGCCCAGGGGAGGACGCAGACCTCTGCAGTGAGCTGTTGCAGGAGTCCCTGGATGCCCTGAGAGCCTTGCCTGAGGCCTCTCTCTTCGATGAGAGCACGGTATCCTCTGTGTGGCTGGAGGTGGTAGAAAGAGCAACCAGGTTCCTCAGGTCCGTCGTGACGGGGTAAGTTCTTTCTTTTCACATCTTACTGTGTGAACAGTTCCAGCATGCTTCAAAGTCTTGTCTCCCTTCTTCTCTTTAGAGCTAAGAAACTTAGTAGATTGGTTCCTGGTGTGTGTTTCCAGGACATCCTCAGCTCTGTGATTCCAGTTCTTGGTTCTCAGCTTTTCAGATGTTTGATTTTTGATATTCTGATTGGACCCATGAAGCTGTCATATAGAATGGGATGGAAAACAAAAGATGCTTTTGTAATTTATTTTTTCGGGATATTTTATGATTCGGGGATCAGCCATTCCTGAAGTGTTTGAGCACCTATGTGTGCCTCTCAGTGAGAATGTGGATGCCACCATTCTGAATGATGGGTGTTATCTTAATAGACAATGTGGAATTAAAAAACTACTCAAGATCAAAATGTTTAAACCTACATCTAGTCTTTTCAGTGTAAAAAAATTTGAATGTGAATCATTTTTCTGTAAGGAAAATCATGAACTCTGGTCTTGAGTCCTATGTATTTTTGTTAATGGTTTTTAAATTTAAAGAAAATGTATATAGTTAGTACAAAATTCAACAGCCAAGATAGGCTTAGAAGACAAGTGAGTCTCTTCCCATTCCCTTCACCAGAGGTCAATTCTATGCCCCTTCCAGCAAGGAGGGACACCTGTGGTCTCCATGCCAGTGGGCTGTGAATTTGGGTTCTCAGAGTGCTGGTGAAGGGATTGCCACGGGGTTAGGGCTAGGGGCCCTGAAAATAGGCTTGGAATTAATGTCAAAAGTTCAACTGTAATGGTGATGTTGGAGGAGCCTCCCTCTTCTGTCTTGGGTTAAGAAGACCTATTATTTACTATTGAAGAACAAGGAAACTTTTTAATTACTGCTTTGATCAGAGATAAAAATAAGCATAGACATTTTTTGCCTATAGATTCTTAGGTGGTTTTAGAAATTGATTCTTCTCCAATTCTCTAGAGGAATATTGACATTCTAATAGCCTTACATGTCTTTGAAACTGAAAACATATCTAAACATTTTTCTACTCATGGATTAAATAATGATACAAATAATTTTATGTTACGAAAACTTGGATTATATCTTCTAATGTAATCATCTTATAGTATCTGAATTAATACTTTTAATAAAAACATATCTTTACAAGTTAATTGTACACTTTAAAATCTCTGATTAAATTTGAGTAGCAAGTCTCAGAAACTTGATTCTAAATATTAAAAATGTATTTCTGCATGGGAGAGAGAACATAATTAACGAGGTTTTAGTGTTATCTTAAGCGTGTGCTGTCTTGAAGCTCTGACGTTACTTGGTTCCTTATCCACTGTTGTCATTTCAGGGATGTTCACGGAACGCCTGGTACCAAAGGGCCAGGAAGCATCCCCCTGCAGGACCAGCACCTGGCCCTGGCCATCCTGTTAGAGCTGGCTGTGCAGCGAGGCACGCTGAGGTGAGGTGCCATAGGCCAGGAGTACCTCATGCCTCTGTACCCAAACATCTGAATCATTTGTGATTGTAGGAAACGTGTGGTGTTCTGTAATCAAAGAACCGTGTCCCAGGACCCTCTCTTCTTTCAAACCTGTGTACACTTAGGTTTTCTTCACTTCCTTTTTTATGTTCCACTTTTAGTAGTCTAGGAACTGGTTTTCTTTCCTCTTAATTTTCTTCAAATAATTATTTTTATTCCATTAAGTTAAGGTCCTAGAAAGTCCCTGTAGAAAGTGCTGTTTGAGCTTCTTAACTGGTTTTATATTTCTTATCCACAGAAGGGAGAGGTCTTGTGCTAAAAGCTTGGTGTTGATTCATTGATTTTACTGCCAAGAATTGTTTTCATGGCATTATTTTAGTTTCCTTTCAAATCTAAAGTATTTCTTCAATTTTATTTGGCTGTCTGCTTTTATGTTTGACAGACTGTGGCAAAAAATGTTAACCTGTGTTTACTAGAGATTAAAGATATTTTCTCTTTCAGCCAAATGTTATCTGCTGTCCTGTTGTTGCTTCAGTTGTGGGACAGTGGGACACAGGAAACTGACAATGAGCGGTCCGCCCAGGGCACCAGCGCCCCCCTTCTCCCTTTGCTGCAGAGATTCCAGAGCATCATCTGCAGTAAAGACACCCCTCATACAGAGGGTGACACTCACGTAAGTATCAGAATGAGGCTTTGCATTTAAGTAGCTCTTTTCATTTCAGTTATCCTAAAAGAGTTAGACTTTTATAAGCAAGACCAGAGCACATGTCTGGTGGCAGTGGTTGTTTCTAGGAGGGAGTGTGTATTTGGTGGTTACAACAGTGAGTCAGATGTGGGACAGGTGTGGGAGGTCATGGGGTGAGTTACAGTTGATGCGGCAGGACATCACACAAGCACCTTAGGATTCTTTGAAGCAACTAAGGATTGGCCAGAGCTTGCTCTGTTCTATAGACCCTGGGCTCTGTTTGTTCTGAATTGTGTATACTTAGTAGGAGGAATGTATTTGTTGATATTTATCAATTTGTTCTCTTTGAGAGACCCATCTGCTGCCTTGTTGACCACGCAGGTTTCTTTCTGCTGAACTTGAGCCATTGAGCCTTTGTGTTTATGGCTTTAGTACTTGCATGTTCCAAACAGCCACTTGTGTCGTGCTTTGGCTGTGATGGGGAGGGAGTTTAAGATGCAGTGGAAGGTGTAAAGAAGGCATGCTCACTTTCACGAGGGAGCGAGTTAGTAGAGGCATGAAGATGGGTAAAGATCCTGGTGATAGTTCAGGAACGAAGCGTGCGAGTCAAGCAGTTCCTTATGAGCGCTTGCAGTGATAACGGGGCAGGGGTGAGAGGGCAGTGCAGAAGTTGAGGCTCAGCTGGAGAGGGAAGGAGCGTGTGTCCGGTTCAGAGGAGGTGCTCTACCGTGAGGTCTCACTCTGTCCACATTGAAAGTGCGCATGCATGCAGTTGCCTAGTGGGTAATGCTTATTTGTTTTGACCCTGCTTAGAGGAGCCAGGTTAGTCTTCCTCCTCCATATGCCATTTATGGAGAAGATCTCAGATCAGTGAGCACCATCTCTGTGGGCAACACAGACGCAAGTCTGAAATGCATATTTATTTATTTATTTTTTATTGATGTTTTAATGGTTTCTAACATTGTGAAATTTTGGGTTGT